AAGAACTTCTTTTACCGAATTATACTTCTTGGGATGCAGATTTTCCAATATGCTAGATATTATTTTCAGCTTCAGCCTATGATTGCGTTTAGACTGAACGGTGCTGCCCGAGACCGAAAGCCGCCACAAAATCCCAGTCAGGCAAAATATGTGGGCGACCGGCGTTCATCACCAGGTCTTGACGCAGTCTTCCAATCTTAAAAAGTAAAAAAAAGGTTTTAAGTCTACGAATAAATGAAATGCTTGCGTTTCAGGTATTTGCATGGATAAAGAGGAAGACTTGTCGACCCTTACAGAGTCAATCTCCAGAGACAAGAAGCAGCAACCAAAAAGGAGGGTAGTCATAGCGGTCATAGGGCAATCAACTGTCAGAGGTCATCAGGTCGTAAAAGGGGTGGAAATAGCAACCAAACAGGATGGGGGGGGGGAGGACGGTGTAATTATAGTGGTCTACGCTAATTATCTGTCAGTGATGTCGGGGGTCGTTCGGGGTCAAAAGCAGTAATTAGTGCAACGCCTTGTCCCCACGGTAGAGAGTCCTGGTAATCCTGCCTCATCTTACTGCCAGTTCGTTGTGGGGTCCTCTTCGCTTGCAATTCTTACGTTCGGTTTGACCTTATTCTGTTCTCAGCACTACCGTTGTAAAACCGTCACCGCTCCACTACCGGAGTCAATAAGCAGGTCTTTCTAAAACTGAACTTGACCCATTTAATCCTGATACGGAGACGGCTCTTGAGTCTACAGTTTTGAGGCCTTGTGACTGTAGTGGAGCGTTGACAAAGTCCTCTATGTTGGCTGTCAGAATGCGTTGCTCACGGAGAGGCTTTATGTGAGCTATCGCTTGAGATGACCCGATTAGCTGACTACGGTCGTACTAAGTAAATAAGTAGAACACTGATCATACATAATGAGACCAGTAACTAAGATCTTTGTTGTCGACTTCGCGTCGGGTTCTGCTGTTCTCATTAATGTTTTCCACAACATTACGGCCTGATGACTGTCGGCTATGTAGTTCGCGGTCCACCGTCCGAGGTATGGCCCAGACAGCGTTTGGACACGAGTAACGACGTATTTGTTGAGCTCCGGCGTCCAATATACACATATGCTCATGAGTGTAAGCAATGTGGAGAGTCAAGAAGACCAGAGACAGGACTGGGCACAAAAACGCGTCTGCGTGCTCCCTTGACACGCACACAAACACCACG